ACATGTTGAGAGTCCAGTACAATCCCATTAGTAATTTATACCAAGATCTAACATGAATACTATACATTAATGATTGGGCCCTGGGGAATATGGCCTTGCAAGATATGACAAGCCTTTTATTTATTGAACAGATTTGAAAGCATTGTTAATAAAACATTTGATTTCAGCTCTGATGATATTGGATTGAGTATGATTATGGGACCTGCAAAGTCCCATCAAAACCTCGTGCACAAAAAATACAATATAATACCCAATTTTTGGTACAATATAAAAGATATAAAAGAACCATATCCATATATATATGCATAAAACAAAATTACACATATATATGCTGTAATCACACGTGCCTGTTGTGAAGTGAAATAATCATAATAATGGTACAAACGAAAATATATCTCAAAGTCCAAAAAATATTATTGGTGACAAAACAGTAAACAGTGCTTCCAAATAATACTGTTAGTGACCATAGGTGAAACTCGTGCAGATTTCTGGGTGTGTACAAATCTGAGAATCCAACCACCATCTGGATTAGCCTCTCACCTCATCCCTTCGACCCTTGCGGATCAAAGAGCAGTAGTGGATCCCTCTCACGGATCCTCCAAGCACCAAAACACTCCAAAGGCAGTTTTCTCAGGATATAGTATTCCCACTCTGGCTCTTCTCCAGGAAAAGTTGTAGTTTCAATCTCTCAAATGAGACAAAGGAATCCTCCCATAGTGTAGTATATTTAATTATACCATAGGAACAGATAACATTTTTGCATTAAAACTTACGTAGCAGCCAGTCCAAGAAAATGATGATTTGATAAGGGTAGTTTGTTTATATACGTTTTTTAAGGATAAGGTATACAGATTGTAGTAGGTGCATTATTATACAGTGTTCGGTTGATCCCTGTATATATGTGCCCGCTGTAGTCATTAGCATGTAGTATTTACATAGGAGTCCCCAATGGTCTTCAGTGTTATGGCCGCGGAAAGTAGTGGTGGAATGATGTTGAGGAAAACCCCTTCCACGAGGGTGGTTCCTCTTAACAGGATGGGTATTTAAAGCGAGATCGTCACTGTGATTGACAGCCCTGATGAAGTCACATGACACTGTGACGCAACGCGTCGGCTTGACGTGGTGACGTATTTCCGGCGTGGCGGCCATCTTGGTACACCTGTGCATCCAGCTGTACACCCAAACAGATATATCCTCATTTGAAAGCATGAGGTTTTTCTTGGACTGGCTGCTACGTAAGTTTTAATGCAAAAATGTTATCTGTTCCTATGGTATAATTAAATATACTACACTATGGGGGGATTCCTTTGTCTCATTTGAGAGATTGATACTACAACTTTTCCTGGAGAAGAGCCAGAGTGGGAATACTATATCCTGAGAAAACTGCCTTTGGAGTGTTTTGGTGCTTGGAGGATCCGTGAGAGGGATCCACTACTGCTCTTTGATCCGCAAGGGTCGAAGGGATGAGGTGAGAGGCTAATCCAGATGGTGGTTGGATTCTCAGATTTGTACACACCCAGAAATCTGCACGAGTTTCACCTATGGTCACTAACAGTATTATTTGGAAGCACTGTTTACTGTTTTGTCACCAATAATATTTTTTGGACTTTGAGATATATTTTCGTTTGTACCATTATTATGATTATTTCACTTCACAACAGGCACGTGTGATTACAGCATATATATGTGTAATTTTGTTTTATGCATATATATATGGATATGGTTCTTTTACATGTTTTTTCACATGTTTTGAGCTATCCACTTTATTTGTGTTGATGATATTATTAACAAGCACTTATTGATATGTATTGTTAACACCGTCACATTTTATCTAATTTAACTTATTTGATATTTTGGGATCCCACATTCACATATTTTTATGATTTGAATGTAGCGCTGCATTCCTTATTACTCTTATCTTACGTAATCACTGGTATATGATTTAATGTTAGCAGCTCCCTCTGGGATTTATACACATATTTATTTTGTTTATTATTTTTTAGGTTTAAAAACACTTGGGAGCGCAGGAGGTTCACACCATCACTAATATAAAAGATGATGTTGTGTTGAGTAAAGAGATACCAATTTCAAATTGCATGCACCCAAGAAATGGCAACAAACTACAGTACCTAATTTTAAGGATGCACCGAAATTTCGGTGGCCAAAACATTTTGGCCAAAAACACCCCTTTCAGCCATCAGCCAAAATTTAAAAAAAAAGAACCAATACAGGTGCCAAAAAACCCCGCCCCTCACCCCCGCCTGCCCACTGCCACCACTGGCCACCGCTTGGTAACTCTCAGCCTCACCTGAGAAACCATCAAGTGATCCCGATGCTGGGCATAGAGATGAGTGAAGATGGCCTCCACTCATCTCTATGCCCTTGGAGGACCGGAGTGATGTCACTTCCGGTTCCGGACATTTTTTTTTTTAGGAGGAGTAGATCAATGCTTTTTTTTTTTTATCCAATGCTTTACCTGTCACTAATTATTTCTATCACAAGGGATGCATGCATTTCTTGGGATAAGAATAAAAGTGATTAACATTTATTTTAAAGAGACAGAGTAAAAAATAAATAAATTAAAAAAAAAAAAAGTTTAAAGTGCCCCCCGTCCCCCCCGTGCTCGCACATAGTGGTGAACACATACGTAGGCCATGCCCACATATGTAAATGGTGTTTAAACCACACACATGAGGTATCGCCAAGAACGTCAGAGCGAGAGCAATAATTCTTGCAGTAGATCTCCTCTGTAACTTTACACTGCTAACCTGTAGAAATTTCTAAAGCATCACCCATGGAGATTTTTAAGTACCTCAGTTTCACACCATTCCACGAGCGTGCAAAAATTTTAAAGTGTAACATGTTGGGTATCTATTTACTCGCCGTAACATCCTCTTTCATATTTTACAAAAAAATTTGGGTATATATTATTTTTTTGTACTTTTTAATCAAAGTATTTTTTTAAAATATATATTCATTTTTTAAAAACTGCGCATTTCAGTTTCGGTTTTCAGTTAAGTGCATTTTGAATTTCGGCACCAGAATTTTTTTTCGGTGAACTACTACCTAATCTTTTCCACAGGTGACGCATTAAAGTGGTTGCAAAGACTAAATATTTTTTTTTTTACCTTAATGCATGCTCTGCATTAAGGTAAAAAAAGCCTGTTATGTGCAGCTCCTGCCCCCCTCCAATATACTTATGTGAGCCCAGTCTTGATCCAGCGCTGTGCCCGAGAGCAGCGGCACTGCTCTATCTCTCCCTACTTGGCTCCTACTATTGTCAATCAAATGCAGTGAAGAAGAGGGATTGGAGGGCAGAGCCAGGCCGCTCTGTGTGTGTCAGTAGATGCACACAGTGTAGCTTGGGATCAAGCCCACATGAGTGTTCCCATAGCAAGCAGCTTGCTATAGAGGTACTCGGAAGGCAGTATGAGCCAGGTGCATCGCCAGGAAACCCCAGAAGAGGAGGATTGAGGCTGTAATTATACATGTTTGTAATTTTTAAAAAATAAAAAGGAACCTTTACAATCACTTTAAAAGCCTTTCTAGGTTATCAATGTAGAGTTAATCGTGAATGATGGCCCTAGAATCATTGCCCTCACCCTGACGTTCGTGATGATACCTGACGTGTCATGACTACAAGTGTATCTAAATTTAAAATGTATATTTGTAGTTTTGGATGAAGTTTAGAAGGGTTAGAACCCCTGTTACATTTATTTTTCTGTTTCTCCATTATGGGGATTCTATTTGCCCTGATGACTATTGTCACAGAGAGACAGTCATTGAGACAGAAAGTGATGGAAAAAATATTGAGTTGTCACCAGAACAGGAACAAAGAGAAAATTTCCAATGGGGGAAATTGCTCCAGTAGCAACTTTCCTTACTGCGAAGAGATTTCAGCTCACTTCCTGATGTGTCTCTGAAGACACAGGCAGCCAAAAAAATGCTGACAGGGAATGTAGCTTTTCCTCACCCTATCCATGTTTAAAAAAATTAATTGTGGCTTTAGACACACCTTAATAATATACCCATACTGTGTGGTATCCCAGTTACCACCTATATACTGGGTATTCCCTCATATAGACTCTCTGATGATCAGAGTGGCTGCCTTAGGTTGGTCTTTGGAAAAGACTAAAAATGGGTAAATGATAGGACAGGAAATACAGTAGTAAGAAAGAGAAGAAAACGAAAAGGGTGAGAAGAAAAAGGCGGAGTTGTTATTTCTGACACAAAGCAGCCTATGAATGTTCTGCTCTACTCTTGTACATTTTAAGACAATGTATCAAAGCGCAGTAAAGAACCATCCATATGAGGAAAAATAGTGCATATGCCTGAACACCACATTGCTGCTGTGTTAGCACATATAGTGAACCAATAGCTTGACAAAAGGAACAGAGCTGTGAGAGTGGCTACAGTTGAATCTCGCTGGGAGGTGTACATTTATTGTAATAGCAGTTGGTATGAATCACAAGGAATGAAAGGAATGACTGGGCTAGAATGGATGGCCCATCCACTCTGATATGGGTGGTATGAGACAAGGGGTTCTCCTGTCACTGGTGATGGACCACGGAGTCCCGAAATGACGTCACCACGGTCTACAGAGGAAGCGAGAGGGAGGATCCAGTGCTGGAACGCAAGCCAAGGTGGAGGTCGGTAACCTGGACCACGCATTTCGCATGCATGCGCCTTGTCCAGGTTACCGGCCTTCATCTTGGCTTGCGTTCCAGCATTAGATCCTCCCTCCCGCTTCCTCTGTAGACCTCGGTGACATCATTCCGGGACACTGCGGACATGTGGTCCATCACCAGTGACAGGAGAACCCCTTGTCTCATACCACCCATATCGGAGCAGACGGGCCGTCCTTCCTGGCCCAGGCATTCCTTGTGATTCATACCAACTTGTACATTTTACCCTGTGAATGGGGTCTCATCACTTTATATGACTGCAAACAGCCCCCAGGGAGCAAAATGAGTAATGATTGTCCTTTCTCCCTTTCCTAGGCAATTTATAAAATGGTGGGCACTGTGATCATGATGAAAATGAACGAGGATGGCTTGACGCCTGAACAGAGGGTAGACAAGATTTTCAGCAAGATGGATAAGAACAAAGATGACCAGATCACGCTGGATGAGTTCAAAGAAGCCGCAAAGAGCGACCCTTCCATCGTATTACTGCTCCAGTGTGACATTCAAAAATGAGCTCGCCTCCACCGGCGCGTTTTGGGACTGCACAGAAATGTCAATGTTCCATTCAGTTTGCAGCTATCTCCACAATGAAAACCGAAAAAAAAAATTAACAAAAATAATTGCTTGGACTACCTATAAATGGACTTGCTTCTTGTGTTTGAGACACTCGTGTGCATGAGAATGTCATTTGCTAAAGAATTTTAAAAGTATATATAATATATATAAATATATATTAAAAAAACGATAAAAAAATACGGAAAAAAAAAAACAACTGCCACAATGTGAAGTGTGCAATGTAATTTCATAAGTCCCTAAAGCTTGTGCATCAGTAATGTACCGCATAATATTATTTATTGTTTTACTGATGCTAGCTGTGTGTCTCCTATGTGTTAGTGGTTAGTGATGACACTGATTGCCATGGCGATGTTACTGTTCCGACTAATCCATTTCACCTGCTGTAAAGTAGTTCCAGCAAGGCGGAGGGACACGAACCTCGGCTTATGGATCTGCTCAGTTTGCCCCCCCTTTTCCCCTTTCCACACCTGTGCTTGTGATGTCGGTGAATTTAAATGTTAATTCATTTGCATGCCTCTTAGGTTTGCCTTAATTCTTACCTCATTTGCACCCTTGAAGAATTCATAAAGAGCCACAATCAAGAGAAAAACTGAACGAACAAATGCAAGTCCCACTGAAACCTTCCCAAAAAATATGAATTCACAGACGCATATATATATAGAGAGGAATATGTATATGTATATATATATATAGAGAGAGAGAGAAATTTCAGTCAAGAGGATATGTATGTTTATGTATATAAATATTATATACATACATGTGTCCATACATAAGATACATAAGATGCCTATATGAGTAGACACAAGCTGTTGTTTTAAAGGGAGCAAATGCAGTATTGACAAATGTATTGATGATGTCTGACTCAATTTTCAAAAGAGGTTGCAATATATGTCCCCAAATAAATAATTTATACCATTTGACTCTTTTCCACACGATATGTGTACTCTGTGAGTTGGGGATCATTTTTCAGTGACTGGAGACCTCAGGTAGACCCAGTACACCACAAAGTTGAGCCTCATTCATCTGCTTGAGATAAGCTCTGAGGAGTGCGTGGGACTGGGAATAACAAGCAGACATGTTTTTGTAAGATGCTCCTCTTTGTGATTGAACCTCGGGCCGGCGATGGGAAACCGAGGGACCGTGGACCAGGCAAGGGGAGCCGGCCGCAAAGCAAAGTCCCACGGTCCAGTTGGGGAGCAGGCCGGTAGGCACAGAACACCATAAAGTTGGGCCTCATTCATCTGCTTGAGATAAGCTCTGAGTAGTGCGGGACTGGGAATAACAAGCAGACATGTTTTTGTAAGATGCTCCTCTTTCTGATTGAACCTTGGGCTGGCGATGGGAAGCCGAGGGACTGCGGGCCGGGGGTAAGGGGAGTCGGCCGCGAAGCAAAGTCCCACGGCCCAGTGGGGGAGCTGGCCAGTAGGCCCAATACACCACAAAGTTGGGCCTCATTCATCTGCTTGAGATAATCTCTGAGGAGTGCTGGACTGGGAATAACAAGCAGACATGTTTTTGTAAGATACTCCTCTTTGTGATTGAACTTCAATGGACACAGTGGACAAGAAATAAATAAGGATAATTTCTACTATTTTAAATCAGGATGTTTAGAGAGTATCTTGCATAAACTCATAACTGGCCATGAGTTACGTTCAAGTCCAACTCTGGATACAATAAGCTTACCAGGGTTAAGGCAGCACAACATTCCTTCCTCTCAAAATCAAATCCCTATTATGCAGGCTCTCTTCTACATCATAGCTCATAGCTAAGCTACACAATACCTTTGTAAGCATCCATTGGCCAAGGGCCAGTGAGTATACACTGCTGGGTTCTACAAGTACTCTTTACCTTGGACTGAAGTGTGGGCTGCTTGTAGTCGGTAATTAAAGTTTCATAAAGAATTCAGTTTTTCCGGCTTGTCTTCAGTATTTTTGCTGTTGTAATAAAGGGAACTTGTGAGAATAGAAATATCAGCATTTCCCATGCTAACCCACAGTAAGCTTGAGAGAAGTTGAGATTTAATTCAGAGTTAAAAGGCTGGTATACTTGTTTCAGGTTAGTGGCTCACAAGGTAGTGAAGCCAGGATCAGTCTGAAAGTTCGAGAGCCTGAAAAGAAAATTTAGCAGTAGTTGCTCCCATATTTCTGTCTGCAGGTTCACTTTAAATGTATTAATTTATAGACTAGCCACTACAAAAAGCTCTATTGCACTGCAAACTATTTTTACCTCTCAGTTCATAGACTTGCATTGTGAGGATGAGCAGTAAAGCAGGTAAATATGGCTGCCCCCATATATATTTGCAAAATATATCTAGAAAAAAAAAATCATTTTAAAATGAACAACATAAAATGTCTTAATAATTCATTAAACTGCCTACAGGAGATTGGACTTGTCCCTGAATACTCCCTTGATTGTATGCCCACCGGAGGAGCAAAGACTCTATAGTATTAGTGTAGTCAATACTGCCCTGTCTGAGATCCTGTTGGCCATTCAGATCACCACTTGCTGGGTAACCGCAGGGTACCTTCTAAAGGACCTCACACCCGATACTCTTCAGAACCATGTTTAATGCCTTTAGGTTTGGCTCCCTCCTCTGTATTGTCCAGGGAGGAATTTTTCTGCAGCTATGTCTAAACCTAGGGGAAAAATGTCAGCCATGTCAGCCGAGTCAGAATGCATGGGTCCCAAGTGTGCTCTCCTCCAGAGTCCACCTCTGTTTTCGCTATGGATGCTGCTACTCTGCACATTCAACTGAAGATGTTGAGTTTGCCCTATGCTTATGAGTTGGTACATGAGGAGGTGCAGTTGACCGACGTCACTCCTAAACCTAAAGATACCATTTTGGTTTTTACTAATGGAGTACTCACATGTCTAGACCTGGAGCAATCTGCGTCTGTAATCTCTAAACATACTAACCTGGGTTTCTTTCAAGGTCCCTAGTCTGTTAAAATGTTTTCATTGCACTCACTACTGCAGTCCATTTTGTAAAATGATTGACCTAATCCAGATAAATTATTTACTCCATCCAAATACTTTACTAAGCAATATCCTATGGGTATGAGGATGGGTTCCTTAAGAAATGAGGCATTCATGTAGTGAATCACCATTTTCTGCTGTTCCTGTGAAAGACGACCCAGAATTTAAAGATCTTGTGGATAAAATGTTATAAGATCTTTCCAAGGCCTTATTCTGCCTGGTGGACCCTGCCCTGTAATGTCTGCCATGTCTGTCTGCCAGATCCTGGGTGTGTGGTCCAAGGATATATTTAGGGATTCTGGATCTATCCTAACTGATACTTCAGACTTACAGCAACTAGAGCTTATGTCTGTGGCCTTACACTACTGCGCTGATAGGTTAAGGGTTATTATGTGCCAAATATCTAGAATGGGTCTCCTTTCTGTATACATATGGATCCCATTGTTGATCTGTGAATCATCAGTGCAAGAAGCACTTATTTCATATGCTCTTTGATAAGGATTGCCTCTTTGGAGCATTCCTGGAAAAACTTTATCAAAGACATCATAGGAGTAAAAAACAACCTTTTGTCCCAGCAAAAAGAAGGCTAAGCCTCATTCTGGCAAGTCATCTACCTCCGAGGCTAAGAAATGCTCCTTTTGTTTCTTCCAAGCTCAAGGCCAAGCCTGTGACTCCATTCCGTCGCAAGTCTTGGACTCCCAAATTCTCCAAGCATGTGAACAAGTCCTCCTCACAATGAGGGATACCTTCACTTACCAGAGTGGAGGGATGTCTGTTAGCTTTTGCAGCGGCCTGAATCCAAGACATTTCAGTCACTTGGGTCTGGTACTTGGTATCCAGGGTCTACAGGCTAGAATGTCAAACTATGCCTCTGCCCTGTTTCATGTTGCCATACCTGCCAACATCTCCACAAAGTCTAGCACACCTCCAGACTGCTTTGGTACAGCATCTTTCTCAAGGGATCGTGGCTATTGTTTCAGAGCATAAACATTTTCAGAATTTCTACTTGAAAACTGTTCTTGTTCCTAAAGTGAAAGGGGACATTTATCCTATACTTGATCTAAAGGTCTTCTATACTTTCTTTAGGGTATAAAAACTCCATATGGAATCTATAACGTCAGTCTTTGCTTCCCTCCATCTGGGGGGCTTTCTGGCCCCTGTGGACATCAAGGATGTTTACTTGCATGTCCTAGGCCAGTGATGGCGAACCTTTTTGAGCCCGAGTGCACAAACTGCAACCCAAAACCAACTTATTTCTTTCAAAGTGCCAACACTGCAATGAAACCTGAATATCGAGCTTTTGGTTTAGAAAAAAACAACTCGTACAGTAGTGCAAACTAATTAACAGTACAGGGATGACCAGAGACTGCGGACACAGTACAGGGATGAACAGAGACTGCGGACAGTACAGGGATGACCAGAGACTGCGGACACAGTACAGAAGATGACCAGAGACTGCGGACAGTACAGGGATGACCAGAGATTGCGGACAGTACAGGGATGACCAGAGACTGCGGAAAGTACAGAAGATGACCAGAGACTGCGGACAGTACAGAGGATGACCAGAGACTGCGGACATAGTACAGGGATGACCAGTGACTGCGGACATAGTACAGGGATGACCAGTGACTGCGGACAGTACAGGGATGACCAGAGACTGCGGACAGTACAGGGATGACCAGAGACTGCGGACACAGTACAGGGATGACCAGAGACTGCGGACAGTACAGGGATGACCAGAGACTGCGGACACAGTACAGGGATGACCAGAGACTGCGGACACAGTACAGGGATGACCAGAGACTGCGGACACAGTACAGGAGATGACTAGAGACTGCGGACACAGTACAGGGATGACCAGAGACTGCGGACACAGTACAGGAGATGACCAGAGACTGCGGACAGCACAGGGATGACCAGAGACTGCGGACAGCACAGGGATGACCAGAGACTGCGGACAG